GTCACTGCAGGAGACCGTCCTGATGTTCTGTCTCTGAGCTCCGGTCAGCCCCCCCCTGCTGGCATGGACAGCGCCCCCCGAAGGTGGGTCCTGAAGCCCCTGTCCCCCCCCCTGCAGCCCTCAGACCTGCGCAGCCTGGCTGGACCCCCCCAACCCCAAACACACCCCCTCGAAAACATCTCCATCGCTCGCAGCCCCTCCTCCGTGGTGGTCTCCTCTCAGGGCGACCTGTCCAAAGACGTGGTGGTTCAGGTCCGGCAGGTCGCTGTGTCTCAGCCTGTGGAGGAGGAGGAAGATGAATTTGAAGACTGGCCTCCAAGCAGCCCCGGCAGCAGCTCTGGTTCTCACAGTGGTTTCTACTCCTTCGTGGACGACCCGGCGAGTCCCGAAGCCGAGCAGAACCAGAACTGGATGACATCTCCGCGGCGGCAGATGGCGACGCTGAAGGAGGAGCGAGGCTTCAGACTGCAGAGCTACACCGGGACCAGGAGGCCGGAGAGCCTGTTCCCAGAGACCGACGGAGACGAGAGGTACCGCCTGGACCTGAGCACTGAGGAGGTCCTGGAGGAAGAGGAGAAGCAGCTCAGGAGGGAGGAGATCATCCGGAGCCAGGCGCCGAAGAAGAGCTCCAGAGACCAGGATGAGGACCGACTGTCCAAGGGGTTCAGCTTCAGGCAAGTTTTTTTCTCTAATTGATTGTGATGTTATGTTAAATGTCTGTTTCCTTGTAACTTGTCTTAATATCTGTCCTTGTCTGATGTTTCAAATGGAGCTGCTGTGATGCAAGTAATATTTCAGGTTTGATCTGACAATAAACTATTATCGTATCGTATCGTAGACCTGCTGAGAACATCGACCAGGAGCAGATCAGCTTCAGCGCCGCCAGGCAGCAGTTCCTACAGATGGAGCAGGACCGACTGGTTCCCTGGAGGATGCACCTGAATATGCGTTCTGCACGGTCCTCCCAACACCACAGAGAAGAATCTACAGCATTTAAAGCAGCAGAACAAGAGGAGGAGACGCACCCGGAGAGGAGGGTGGTGGTGGTGATGTCCGACGACCTGGACTCCGGTCTGGAGGAGCTCTCAGTGGGCAGGGGGTACGGCAGCGACGAGGGCATCTTTAACAACACCAGGAGAATCTACGAAACCCCCATCGAGAGGGAGATCCCGTACGAGACCCCCATCGAGAGGGAGATCCTTAATGAGACCCCCATCGAGAGGGAGATCCGGTTGGTTCAGGAGCGAGAGGAGAACCTGAGGAGATCTCGAGGCCTGACGCACAGCGACTGCAGGGGGGAGATGATCCAGATCAAAACCAAACGACTCCTGGCGCCGGTCTGTGGTGGTCCTTTTTATTTATCAAATGAGGATAAAGAATCATCAGCTGTCTTTGTCGTATTTTATTTTTCTTGCAAGAAAGTTAGGTCCGTCGTACAGAGAGCATCACTGTCTGCAGAGTGAAAGACAGAGGGGTAGAGTTTGCGTTGCATATTTAAAGACTAGGAGGTACAACTCACACGAGGTACCCCTTTGCTTTGGCTCCAATCAGAGGAGTTTACGATACCAGAATGTTTTAAGATCAGCAGGAGATGAAGGTCACATAGAGTGTCAATAATAACTTTGTATTTGATCTTCTTAATAAGGACATTTCCCAAGCCTAGCAAAGACCTGAAAGTGGGTAAACAGAGACAAACCTTAGCATACGAGTCTTGTAATGAAAGTAAAGTGATTTTTCTGTTACAGGTCAAAAGCCAGAGAGAAGAACCGGGTGAGCTTCCTGATCCAGAGGGAGATCCAGAAGGAGACCCAGAGGAAGGAGGGTCCTCCGCAGGAAATGAGGAGCGACTTACACCAGAGAGGCGAGGACGAGAGGACAGAAGAAAGACCGGCGTCCGAGTCTGGAGACACCGAAGTCTTCCCGTCTCCCTGCTGTCCTCCCCGACACCCAGAGGAAACTGAGCTGTTCATCAGGAGTTCAGCTGCTTCCTCCCCCCGATCCTCCTCACCTTCCTCACCCACACCTCGGTCCTGGAGGCAGAACCTGCAGACCACCGGCCCGCAAACCAGAGGACAAGGAACGCCTGACTTCATCGAGAAGGAGATCCAGGAGACGCTGAGGAGGGAACAAGAGCTCAGGGAATCCAGGGAGTCCAGGGATCTGAAGGAGTCCAAGGAGTCCAGGGAGTCAAGAGAGTCAAGAGAGTCAAGAGAGTCAAGAGAGTCTAGAGAGTCTAAAGAGTCTAGAGAATCAAGAGAGTCTAGGGAGTCCAGGGATCTGAGGGATCTGGGGGAGTCAAGGAAGTCTAGAGAGTCGAGAGAGTCCAAAGAGTCTGGGGATTTGAAGGAGTCTAGAGAGTGTAGAGAGTCCAGGGATCTGAAGGAGTCCAGGGAGGAGGCGGATGGACGGCTCTTCTCTCCGATTCCTCTGGTGGAACAGGCAACAAAGATGGCCGTCAGACAGTTCTACCCATCGCCAAACGCAGGTATGTCTTTTGTATGAAGGCTGGATCCCTAACCAGGGCTCCAGGTTCTGTTCAGCTAAATGCAATGTAATGTAATGTTTAACCCCTTTCCTGAACCAAACTGGTACAAAGGTCCAGTTCGGAGATAGTGCCCGATTGCGGAACCAGTTCTTCCTGTTTCCACGCAACAGGCCCCAAAAACTGGTTCTTAGAAAGCGTGGAGCTAGAAGGGGTTAAAAGCATCAGTTATTTTAGAGTTAATTGATTCATCGCACATCGTTATCACATCAAAAGACTCGTGAAGACTTTGAGCTCCGACTGCTGCCAGGTGAGATCTTGTCCGTCGCTATCTTGGTTTTTGGACGTCGTTAACTTCCTTGGTTTATTACTGACATTAAGACAATTACTTCTTGTAGTATCAGTTTTCTGAAATGCAAATGAGGAATTATGTAATGCTAACTTTAGCTGAATTAAGGCGAAATCTAAAGACACATAAAGACAGAGTTATTCAAATAAACTCCTAAAAGTGGGTTTTGTATGTTTTCTTCCCTTTATCTTAACCCTCCTATTGTCTTCGTTTCGCCCTTACTTTGGTGTTCGCGGTCAAATTTGACCGGTCCTGTTTTAACTGCTATTACATTAACACAACAACCATGAATCATCACCAAATTTCATTTAACACCCTTTCAAACTGTACATATTGTATCAGACTACTGGTACACATGAAGAACTGCAGTAAATATACAAAGAACAGACACTGAACATGTATTGGTGTGCCAGGTGTGATTCACATGGGGGGAGGGGCACATAAGGGGGGGAACACATCTAGAGTGTGTGTGTGGGTGTTTAATTTATCTGATCCGGATGGTTACTAATTCCTTTTCTTCATTTTTGCCCGGGAACACCATGGGTGTTACAAAGTTGACTAAATCATCCAAAATGCAATGAAAGTGGTGATCAGCAAATGTCTCCTGTGAAGGATATCATGAAGCCTGAATGCAATCGAATGTAAAACAAAAAAGTTACGATTTATGAAAGCAGTCAATCGGTCAGATTTGACCCGAAGACAACAGGAGGGTTAAAAGACTGTAAAACCTTCAATTTGACCATTGGAACAAACTAAATTATTCACAAACAATAATTTTCTTTAGCTCACCAAGTCAGAGTTAAGTTAATTGTATTCGTGAAATAATCTTTTTTTTTTATATGTGAGAAATCATGATGATTGAAAATGTTCAGAAAACAGCAACACATGTGTATATATATTTAGATGTGTTGATCAGAACCTTTTGAAGGGTAAAATCTCAAATCAGTTAATTTAAAGATAATCCTATATAGTTATAGTTTGCTAATCATAGCTTCCATTGGTTAACATTAGCCACCTTAAGCTACAGGCGTACAAAGTGATCTTGTAACGCAGATTATTTTACGAATTAAACTGTTTCTCCCTTTCGTTTCTTCAAAAGCCATAAAGCCTCACGTCATTGTCAGTAAACCTCACAGTCCTGATGGAGGGTTTTCACAATAAAAGTTCCTGTACGAAGGTATTTATGATCCGAAATGAAAAGCTCAGCAGATTCCCCCCCCGCAGTAAAACCGGCATGATCTTTGACCTCCATAAAAACTGAGGGGTTCTCTGCAATGGAGGAATTGTTTTAATGAATATCTGAAACAAACGGTCGTCTGGCAGGAAATCAGAGGACTAACATCTCAATAGTAGAAACAGCTGCTTGGTAAATGTTTGAATCCCGAATGGACCCTGCTGCTGTTCGTCTCATATACAGTATTCACGAGAGAATGAGTAACTTAATGAGATCACGACCAAAGTTCAGCTGTTTGTGTGAATCAGTAACCAGTCAGCGGGTCCAGAACGCCTTTACTCTGAAAATCTCAACTTCCAGTAAAACCATGAGGAAGTGACCAAAGATCACACTGCAGGAGTTATACTGCTGTTCACTGACCTACCTGCACAGGTGAGCACTGAGAGGGAACAGCTCCACCTGCTGGACGGATTTATAACGACGTGTTAGGAAATTGGAGGAAATTCAATATAAAAACTTAGCTGGAGGATGGGACAATATTTTTGAAAACACATCAATTCAGAGATTTTAGTTTTACAATACGGGGAAACAAACAGTTAGAGTTGTAATGTCACAATTATACCATAAAAAATCAAAAATATGGCAGAAAATACTCAATTTGAAGTCCTCTTAAATGATAGATTCTGAATTTGGCGATAATTGTGGGGGAAACTTCTGAAGCAATGGGAGTCAGGACTCAGAGAGACACGAGGAGAGCTGGAGCTTTGATGGAGTCAGGACTCAGAGAGACGAGGAGAGCTGGAGGTTTGATGGAGTCAGGACTCAGAGAGACACGAGGAGAGCTGGAGCTCTGATGGAGTCAGGACTCAGAGACACGAGGAGAGCTGGAGCTTTGATGGAGTCAGGACTCAGAGAGACACGAGGAGAGCTGGAGCTCTGATGGAGTCAGGACTCAGAGAGACGAGGAGAGCTGGAGGTTTGATGGAGTCAGGACTCAGAGAGACACGAGGAGAGCTGGAGCTCTGATGGAGTCAGGACTCAGAGAGACACGAGGAGAGCTGGAGCTCTGATGGAGTCAGGACTCAGAGTGACACGAGGAGAGCTGGAGCTTTGATGGAGTCAGGACTCAGAGAGACACGAGGAGAGCTGGAGCTCTGATGGAGTCAGGACTCAGAGAGACACGAGGAGAGCTGGAGCTCTGATGGAGTCAGGACTCAGAGACACAAGGAGAGCTGGAGCTCTGATGGAGTCAGGACTCAGAGAGACACGAGGAGAGCTGGAGCTCTGATGGAGTCAGGACTCAGAGAGACACGAGGAGAGCTGGAGCTCTGATGGAGTCAGGACTCAGAGACACGAGGAGAGCTGGAGCTCTGATGGAGTCAGGACTCAGAGTGACACGAGGAGAGCTGGAGCTTTGATGGAGTCAGGACTCAGAGAGACACGAGGAGAGCTGGAGCTTTGATGGAGTCAGGACTCAGAGAGACACGAGGAGAGCTGGAGCTCTGATGGAGTCAGGACTCAGAGACACGAGGAGAGCTGGAGCTCTGATGGAGTCAGGACTCAGAGAGACACGAGGAGAGCTGGAGCTCTGATGGAGTCAGGACTCAGAGAGACACGAGGAGAGCTGGAGCTCTGATGGAGTCAGGACTCAGAGTGACACGAGGAGAGCTGGAGCTTTGATGGAGTCAGGACTCAGAGAGACACGAGGAGAGCTGGAGCTTTGATGGAGTCAGGACTCAGAGAGACACGAGGAGAGCTGGAGCTCTGATGGAGTCAGGACTCAGAGAGACACGAGGAGAGCTGGAGCTCTGATGGAGTCAGGACTCAGAGACACACGAGGAGAGCTGGAGCTCTGATGGAGTCAGGACTCAGAGTGACACGAGGAGAGCTGGAGCTTTGATGGAGTCAGGACTCAGAGAGACACGAGGAGAGCTGGAGCTCTAATGGAGTCAGGACTCAGAGAGACACGAGGAGAGCTGGAGCTCTGATGGAGTCAGGACTCAGAGTGACACGAGGAGAGCTGGAGCTCTGATGGAGTCAGGACTCAGAGAGACACGAGGAGAGCTGGAGCTCTGATGGAGTCAGGACTCAGAGAGATACGAGGAGAGCTGGAGCTCTGATGGAGTCAGGACTCAGAGAGAAACGAGGAGAGCTGGAGCTCTGATGGAGTCAGGACTCAGAGAGATACGAGGAGAGCTGGAGCTCTGATGGAGTCAGGACTCAGAGAGACACGAGGAGAGCTGAAGCTCTGATGGAGTCAGGACTCAGAGTGACACGAGGAGAGCTGGAGCTCTGATGGAGTCAGGACTCAGAGAGACACGAGGAGAGCTGAAGCTCTGATGGAGTCAGGACTCAGAGTGACACGAGGAGAGCTGGAGCTCTGATGGAGTCAGGACTCAGAGTGACACGAGGAGAGCTGGAGCTCTGATGGAGTCAGGACTCAGAGAGACACGAGGAGAGCTGGAGCTTTGATGGCTAACACTGATGGTTTATCCGGAGCTTCGGCCGGAGAATTCACAAGACATGTCACGGGCCACGAGTTGACCACACGGTAGAGATGCCACAATCAATTCCGAAGAACCCCAACTATCAGAGTGTAATAATCAACATTCTTTATCAGCGAGACTAAACAAATATGGACCCTGAATGACATGTTACTTGTTAGACGCTTTTATCCAAAGCGACATACTCAAGTGTCTCAGGGACACAACGACATGCTGCCTGCAGTGGGGTTTGAACCTGTGCTCCCCTGATCTGAACACCTACGGACACCCCACTGCGCCACACGCCTCCTCATCTACCTAGAGCTCTCGTCCATAGGAAAGAACGTGCGTCAGGGAACCTTGGTCCCTGAACAGTAAACTACCTCATGGCGGCTTGTGCTCGGTCACAGCCTGGCAACAACAATGCGCCCAAGCTGCCCCTCCTCAAGAGAGACAGCAGCAGAACCCCAGGCCGTAGACCTGTGCCGTAGGAAAGGAGACACTGAGAGGAGGAAAGGATGAACTGGGTCAAAGGTTGAATAGCAAATTACTCCCCAACAATACAGAAACTCTCAGGGGCAGATTTGTTCCTTCTTTTTCTCGTGAACTATATTTTGTAATTTATTTATTATCTATTATGTGGTTTTCGGACTCATTCCTGCAGCTCTCTTTGTGAGAGCTGCAGGTCAGAGGTCAGGGGTGATTTCCTGTCTGATGGCGTCCTTCCTGTTTCAGATAAACCCGTCAGCGTCTCGTCTCCTCGACCCTACGTCCGGCAGCCCTCCCTCTCCTTCATCACCGCTCAGCCCTGGTCCCCCTCCTCCTCTTCCTTAGCTCCTCCTCATCGTCTCTTTACTTCCTCCTCTTCCTCACCTCCTCACCTCCTCCCCTCTTCCTCCTCTTCCTCACCTCCTCCTCACCTCCTCCCCTCTTCCTCCTCTTCCTCACTTCCTCCTCACCTCCTCCCCTCTTCCTCCTCTTCCTCAATTTCTCCTAACCTCCTTAATTCCTCCTCCTCTTCCTCACTTACTCCTCACCTCCTCCCTCTTCCTCGCTTCCTCCTCACCTCCTCCCCTCTTCCTCACTTCCTCCTCCCCTCCTCCCCTTCTCTACCCTCCTCTTCCTCATCTCCTTCTCACCTCCGTACCTCCTCTTCCTCACTTCATTCTCCCCTCCTCCCTCTTCTTCGGCTCCTCCTTACCTCCTCCTCTCTTCCTCCTCACTCCCTCCTCCCCTCCTCACCTCCTCCTCCTCTTCCTCACTTCCTTCTCCCCTCCTCCCCTCTTCTTCGGCTCCTCCTTACCTCCTCCCCTCTTCCTCCTCACTCCCTCCTCCCCTCCTCACCTCTTCCTCCTCTTCCTCACCTCTTCCTCTCCTCCTCCCCTCTTCTTCGGCTCCTCCTTACCTCCTCCCCTCTTCCTCCTCACTCCCTCCTCCCCTCCTCACCTCTTCCTCCTCTTCCTCACCTCCTCCTCTCCTCCTCCCTTCCTCCCCTGCTCCTCTCAGAGGCCTGACAGAGACGCTGCTGCAGGACTTTGAGGAGAGACGAATGAAGGGGAAGCTGGAGGACAGCGCGGTGAGTTAGCCACGCTCTTATTTTGAAAGGACTTCTTTGAGCGTTATTAACTATTTGAAAGAGAGTGGTTTAGAATCTGACGTGTTTACACTCTTCTGCTCTGCTCTCAGTACGCAGGCATTCTGCTGGTGGACGACGTGAATAACGAGGTACAGACCTTTTTTTACTTTTATGTCTTCGTGTCCTCCTGTCTTTGTTTCTTGTCTCATGTCTCCTTGTCTCCTTGTTGTCTCATAGTGTCCTTGTGTCTTTGTCTCTTTTCTCTGGTGTTTTTGTCTTATTAATTGTTGTATCCTTGTGTCCTTGTTGTCTTCTTCTCTCCCTTGTCTACACTATATCGTAATCTTCTTGTCCCCTTGCCTCCTTGTCTCCTTGTGTATGTGTCTCTTATCTCAGGTCTCTTTGTTTATTTATATGTTTGTCTCCTTGTTTCCTTTTGACTTTGTACATTTTATTCTTGTCTCTTTGTCTCCTTCTATCCTTGTATCCTAGTCTTCTTGTCTTTTTGTCCCAATGTCTAACTAAGCTCCTCGTCTCTTTGTCTCCTCGCTGTCTCCTTGTGTATTTGTCTCCTTGTCTCCTTGTTGTCTCCTTGTTGTTGCCTTCGTGTCCTTGTGTCTTTGTCTCTTTTCTCTTTTGTTTTTGTCTTATTAATTGTTGTCTCTTAGTAGCCTTGTGTCCTTGTTTTTGTCCAGTTGTCTTCATGTACCTTTGCCTCCTTGTCTTCTTGTTTACTTTTGACTTTGTTCATTTTTATTCTTGTCTCTTTGTGTCTTTTGTCTCCTGCTATCCTTGTAGTCTTCTTGTCTTTTTGTCCCAATGTCTAATTAAGCTCCTCGTCTCTTTCACTCCTTGTCTCTTTGTCTCTGTGTCTCCTGGTGTCCTTGTCTCTTTCTCTCGTTGTCTCCTGGTCTCCTTGTCTCTTTGTCTCGTTGTCTCCTGGTGTCCTTGTCTCTTTGTCTCGTTGTCTCCTGGTGTCCTTGTCTCTTTGTCTCGTTGTCTCCTGGTCTCCTTGTCTCTTTGTCTCGTTGTCTCCTGGTGTCCTTGTCTCTTTGTCTCGTTGTCTCCTGGTGTCCTTGTCTCTTTGTCTCGTTGTCTCCTGGTGTCCTTGTGTCTTTGTCTTTTTTCTCTGCTCTTTTTGTCGTATTATTTTTTTCTCCTTAGTCGCCTTGTGTCCTTGGTTCTTTGTCAAGTTGTCTTATTTTCTCCCTTCTCTTCTTGTATCTTAGTCTTCTTGTCTCCTTGTCTTCTTGTCTCCTTGCCTCCTTGCTTCCTAGTCTCCTTGTTTCCTTTTGACTTTGTTCATTTAATTCTTGTATGTTTGTGTCCTAGTCTTCTTGTCTTTTTGTCCCATTTTCTAATTAAGCTCCTCGTCTCCTCGTCTCCTTGTCACTTAATATTTCTGTCTCTTTTCAGGTTGTTGAGTCGACTCGCGTTATTCGACATAAGAACCAGCGAGCTCTGCGCTGGGAGGCCGGAGTGTTTTCCAACGAGGAGGAGAAGTGAGACAGAACCAGATCCAGGATCAGATCCAGATCCAGGACCTGAACCTGAACCAGGACTCGGTTATCTCAGATTTAAATGTTTTTAAAACTGGGACACTCCAAACGGCTGCTCCTGATTGGTCCTCTGCTCGTCCAATCAGCTGCAGAGACGATGTTTCTGATTCATAAAGAAATTATGCATAAAGAGTTAAAGTGAGTTTGTGTTGATCACCTGACGCAGAGAAACAGGAAGTGATTGTTTGAATGATTTTAAACTGATGCATCTAAAAATGACACAAAAATAAAATATATTTTTTAAACTGTCCGACCGTCTCGCCGTCTGTGAACATGTCAAAATAAAGGACTGGGGGGATATAAATACTGAACACCAGCAAGCAGGCAGAATGGCTCACCAAGTCAAAGTGAATACATTTTATTTGTGAAATAATTAGAAAAATCACCAAAGAATAGCAAAATATGTAAAATAAAATAATAAATGTTTTGAAAACAGCTAGAATTGTGTAATAAAGGTAATATATTGTATATGTATCATGTCATATAATTACCTATATGCTATTGTTAATATATTATAGGTAACGTTTGTGGGGGGAAAAACTGCCAAACGTATATATTTTTTAATATGTACATGTGAAAAATAGGCCATTGTATAATTTACAGTGTGTAATAAAAATGGACTGTCACGCCCGCTGATGCAGCTCCTTCCACACACACACACACACACACACACACACACACACACACACACACACACGCACACACACACACACACACACGCAAACACACAGTCCTGGTTGCTGTTGCCATGGAAACATACTGGCTGCTGTATCGCCTGCAGGAAATAAAAAAGGAAGGGAGAAGATGGATTATGTGTGTGTGTGTGTGTGTTGGAGCTCTTATCTCTACATCAACACTGTTGCCATGGAAACTGCATAATGAGCCTGAAGGTGCAGGACACAAGTGTGTGTGTGTGTGTGTGTGTGTGTGTGTGTGTGTGTGTGTGTGTGTGTGTGTGTGTGTGTGTGGTGTGTGGTGTGGTGTGTGTGAGGACAGTAACAAACCTTCAGTGAAATGTAAACGTCTTCATGTTTCAGTGTGTGTTCAGCCTCCGCCACAAAACGTTTTTCATTTCCACACTGTCCTATATAAAAAATAAAATGCAAACAAATTATCATAAACGCCAATCTGTTCAGGTGATTTGAGCCCTAAATCCAGGACATTTAAAAACCCTAACGACTGTATTTTATCCTGAAAACTGAGCAGAAGTGTTTTATTCTGAACGGGAATTCGAAACAAAGACTTTTAAAAACAGTGAAACGGGTGATTTTGGATTATATCAGAAAATAATGCCTGTGTCCAACAATGTTGGGCTATAAAGGAACTACAGCACGGTCACATGACTTCACGTCACCACCGCTAAGCTAAAGGAGGCTAATGTTGGGCTATAAAGGAACTACAGCACGGTCACATGACTTCACGTCACCACCGCTAAGCTAAAGGAGGCTAATGTTGGGCTATAAAGGAACTACAGCACGGTCACATGACTTCACGTCACCACCGCTAAGCTAAAGGAGGCTAATGTTGGGCTATAAAGGAACTACAGCATGGTCACATGACTTCACCTCACCACCGCTAAGCTAAAGGTGGCTAATGTTGGGCTATAAAGGAACTACAGCACGGTCACATGACTTCACGTCACCACCGCTAAGATAAAGGAGGCTAATGTTGGGCTATAAAGGAACTACAGCACGGTCACATGACTTCACGTCACCACCGCTAAGCTAAAGGAGGCTAATGTTGGGCTATAAAGGAACTACAGCACGGTCAAATGACTTCACGTCACCACCGCTAAGCTAAAGGAGGCTAATGTTGGGCTATAAAGGAACTACAGCACGGTCACATGACTTCACGTCACCACCGCTAAGCTAAAGGTGGCTAATGTTGGGCTATAAAGGAACTACAGCACGGTCACATGACTTCACGTCACCACCGCTAAGCTAAAGGAGGCTAATGTTGGGCTATGAAGGAACTACAGCACGGTCACATGACTTCACGTCACCACCGCTAAGCTAAAGGAGGCTAATGTTGGGCTATGAAGGAACTACAGCACGGTCACATGACTTCACGTCACCACCGCTAAGCTAAAGGTGGCTAATGTTGGGTGTGATGACGTTTAGTCGTCTCATTTAGACACTTGTTAGTAACCTCCGTCTGCTAATCCACCAGTGGGGTATTTACTGATGTATTTTATGTGGTAGAACAAAACGTTAAAATATCTTCAGCTTGTGTTAACCACAGACCTTATTTCAGGATAATAACCAAAAACACATGGAAAACCATTGACCTCCAGACAAGGGGACAGGAAGTGGTTAAATGCTGACTCATTTCCAGGTTTTAGGACTCATTCCTGCACCACTCTAGGTTCACAGTCTTCAAGTCTTATGTGTCCTTCGTTAATTTGAAGTTACTTCAACACGAGGAAATCTTTTATTCCAGACGTTTTACCATCATGGCTTTACGATATGGTGTTCCCGAAGAACAAAGATATTAAATATAGATTCACACTTTAAAAGCAGCAGCATGCAGATACCACAGAAACTCATTGAGAGGATCAAAGTTTCCTGTGGGCCCTGACATGGATCCTGGATGTGAACTGGTTCAGAGGAAGTTCACGTCTTTATTAAAGATTTCCTTTAAGTGTCCTCAGGAGGCCGAGGGGGGAAATCTCCCGCAGACTCTGAACATCTCACAGCTCTTTAATCTCTCAACTTTAATTGGACTGTTTAACCCGAGGCCCGGCGGGACCAAGAACGGCAGCTCGCTTAAATTACTGTATGGAGAAACTCCAATAAGAAATGTTCAAACTGAAGAGACGGGGCGGAGATATCAAAATGAAGATTAGAGAGGAAATGAAAAGCAGAGGAACATTTAGAGACTCCATTTGATTCTTCAGCTCCTCTCGCATGGAGACACTATTACTGTGCACACAAGATGCTAACTTGGGCAAACGAGAGACTACGTTTTACACTGAGGGAACTAGCTCGTACACACACGATGCTAACGTGTACTAGAGACCAATTTGTACCTACAATATATATGATAAATGGACTGTACTTATACACGTATTTATCCAGTCTCTACGACCCCTCAAGGCGCTTTACATTCACAAGTCATCGTTCACCCTTTCACACATATTCATACAGAGCAGTACCACTTTTTGCTCAAGGAATATAGCAATCACACACATACACACACTTGGATATCGGGAACAATTCTGGGTTAACGGTACGTCCACACGGCAGCGTCGCGTGCTTCAACGGAGACGCTTCCCATTCACTTTGAATGGGGTGACGTCACGCTTTGCCGAACTGCATTGTGGTTTCGTCGCGTCGCTTTGCCACCGTTGCTCGCTTCGAAAGTTGAGAAAAGTTCAACTTTTCAAGCGTCGACGGAAGCGCCAGCCAATCAAATCATATGCCAGTACAAACTCTAGCCAATCAAACCGCGTGCTTGTGTGTCCGGGGCGGGAGATTAATGTGATTGGTTGTTGGTCGAACTGCCAGACACGCCCACCGGCAAGCTTCAACGCGACGCTGCCGTGTGGACGTACCGTAGTATCTTGCCCTAGGATACATCGTCATGTTGACTGCAAGGGATCGAAAAAAACAACAACCTGATTGAAAGAAGACCGCACCCCCTGACAGCCAGAGTGAAATACAATGTGTTTTCCCGACATATCTGACGCTTTAACTACATGCACCACCAGGCAGCAAGAGGGGCTGTTTACGCCCATGGTGTCTACATAAAGAAAAGCCCCGCCTCCTCTAACGGCTCCGTCCACACTACAGCTTCAAAAAAAGCTTGGAGCTGGGCATGTGGGAAGCTCGACCAACAACCAATCACATGAATCTCCCGCTCCTGACACACAAGCAGCGGTTTGATTGGCTAGAGCTTGTACTGGCATATGATTTGATTGGCTGACGCTTCCACCGAAAGCTTCAGAAGCTGCAAAAGTTGAACGTTGCTCAACTTTTGCAGCCTGAAACGCCAGGAAAGCTCCGCTCTGCTTCCCACAATGCAGTTCGGCGAAAAGTGACGTCACCCCATTCAAAGTGAATGGGCAGAAGCGTTGGAATGCGTTTTTGAAGCTGTCGAAGCTGTAGTGTGGACGGGCCGTAAAGCACGTCCAGTTGGAGTAAGTCATTATAGTATTATTAGGTCGTAAATGAGCTTAGTTACTCATTAGTATTGAATGCTGAATTATTACCTCAGAGAAACAAAAAGACTGTTGTGACAAGTATAATAACTTCTGATCAAGAATAGCTTTTAATTTTGCATTTTCATCGTATGACCATCGAGCATGCATCCCTCCAGTCTGTTCTTACAGATAAACTTTTTTTATAGCAGCAGTTTTTTCTTTTAAACATTTCCAGTCACAAAATGCACAGATTCAAGATAAAAGAGGCTCCATGTTTTTACATTCAGATGGAAATGTCTCAGGATCATTTATCTGAGAGATGGACAAACTGTGGACACATGCAACAACACAGACACGTTAACATCTCATCAATATTTCATATCACACAAAAACTCCTCGACGTCTTTCACTGAATGTTTTTAGGTTTCTTGCAGCTCCTGTTTACGACCGGCGATTGGTGCAAACGAACAGCAACGGGCCGAAACTCTTCCATCAGGAGAAACACGCTGCAGCCTCAGAAAGGATGCAGATATAACAACCCAAATGTTCCTGTACACATGAAGAAGCATGGGGACACTAAAGAGTGACGCACACAGCTGGAGACCAGGGGGCACTAAAGAGTGACGCACACAGCTGGAGACCAGGGGGCACTAAAGCATACATGCCAATCTTTCCAAATCCAAAAGAGGTCGGTTTGCGCGTGGCAAACAGAAGGTAGGTAATCAGAAGAAATGGAACCCCAGTAATTACAGGTATAAACCATGTATTTAACATGTATTTAACATGTATTTAACATGTACTGCATCATTTTATGCATTTTTCAGAAAAAGTGGTAGTTTGGAAACTGACATCAACGACATGTCTGGTCTGTAAAATGTCCAAAAGTAAAAGAATGGGAGCTAAATATCCCAAAGTCTCCACATTTTATTATATTTTTTGTGTGTTTCTGGTCCTCTTTCAGTTGAGACAGTGTAGATGAAGGATGTGTCAGGATGTAGAACATTGGATAAAGCCAGGTTCATATTCTTGTTTCATGTTGTTGACATATTAGTCAAAGGTTTGCACAGAGCGATATATCTTTGTGTTGCGCCATAAATCAGAAAATACTGCATTAAAAAAGTAATTTCCTTCATGTTTTTACAGTGTGATATAAATAATGTACAGGCTTTCAGATTACTGTAGTTAAAAAAAACAGAGACATTAACGACATGTTTGGTGTTGAAAATGTCCGAATGGGAGATAAATATCCCAAAATCTCAAAATGTTATATTTTGTGTGTGTTTGTGGTCCTCTTTCAGTTGAGACACTGTAGGTGAAGGATGCTTCAGGAAAAGACCAAACACTGGATGTCTTTCAGTCGCCAACATGTGTTTTCGAGACACTGATATTAACGGGGAAACCCTACAGGACTCAAATGCCTCGTCTCTGTTCCCCTAAACTCATTTGGGAGTGATTACTGGTTATTATCAGTCCCTGGCGACCAGTGCCCTGGTCTCCCAGCTGTGTGCGTCACTCTTTAGTGTCCCCTGGTCTCCCAGCTGTGTGCGTCACTCTTTAGTGTCCCCTGGTCTCCCAGCTGTGTGCGTCACTCTTTAGTGTCCCCTGGTCTCCCAGCTGTGTGCGTCACTCTTTAGTGTCCCCTGGTCTCCCAGCTGTGTGCGTCATTCTTTAGTGTCCCCTGGTCTCCCAGCTGTGTGCGTCACTCTTTAGTGTCCCCTGGTCTCCCAGCTGTGTGCGTCATTCTTTAGTGTCCCCTGGTCTCCCAGCTGTGTGCGTCATTCTTTAGTGTCCCCTGGTCTCCCAGCTGTGTGCGTCACTCTTTAGTGTCCCCTGGTCTCCCAGCTGTGTGCGTCACTCTTTAGTGTCCCCTGGTCTCCCAGCTGTGTGCGTCACTCTTTAGTGTCCCCTGGTCTCCCAGCTGTGTGCGTCACTCTTTAGTGTCCCCTGGTCTCCCAGCTGTGTGCGTCACTCTTTAGTGTCCCCTGGTCTCCCAGCATGTCTCCTCAAGTTGCTGGATGTTCTCTAAACGCTGCATGTGTTGTTGCTGAAGATGTTTCTTCATGTGGAACATTTGTGTTTTTATATCTGCATCGTTTCTGAAGCTGCAGCTCGTTTCTCCTGATGGAAGAGTTATTTTTAGTGTGTGCACCCATCGGCCACCTGTTGTATTTCTGTGAGTTTAGAGCCACAGTGAGGACAAAATAATCAGATTAAAATATTGAATATTCTGTTATATTACAACACTTGCTTTGGAAATATTACACTTTTATTTTTAAATGTTTAGTTACTTATTTTACATTAAACTCAATCTTCAAAAAAATATTAATCTCATATTTTCTCCTTAATTTCTTTACTTATTGTTTGAATTTAAAAAAATGTATATTACAGTTTTCGGGAAGCTTGTATACTATGACTGTTTTTTCCGCACTTTAAGAAACTCTGTATGTTTGTTTTTAAATTCTGAATATGAGCAACATATTTAATTTAAATATTTAATCTCATGTCGGTCTTTAATAAATACACCCAATCAGATTCACACACAGAAACGCTCTGAACCAATCAGAGGGCAGCACACACACGCACACACGCACACACACATGCTGAGAATCACTATAGCAACCAACCATGACAACAGCAAACGTCCAATCAGAGCCTTTGACTCAGTCTCCATGGAAACGCTGCAGCTTCCTGCTTCTGGGGGTTCAACACTGAAGGTCCAGCGCTCAGAAATCAGACCTGATTTTAAATCCTCCTTAAATCCTCCTGGTTCTTCCGGATGAATCCTCCAGTGTCAGGGAGGTTTCTGGTCTTCAGGTGGACGAAGGTGTTTTATTGCTGAGAGGTGAATTCACAGCAGCCAATCATCTTGCTGCTCTTGCTGCGTAACTTAAAGGGGACCTATCATGCAAAATGCACTTTTGTACGTCTTTTATACATGAACATGTGTCCCCGGTGAGTCAGGGAACTCACCAAGTGTCAGAAAACACAACCCTCTCTTTTCCCCCGTACCCAAATCTCTAAAAACAGGGCTGATTATTATTTGAATTTTTCTGACGTCAGAAAAGGGGTGCTCCACCTATATGGGCAACTCTCCACCTATCAGGGGAATGAGAGACCGCTGGAAAGCGCTGGAGACGCTGTAGTACATATGCCAGGCCTGTAGGTGGCGCTGTAGCCACAGAATCAGCCCTTGCTAAAACAGGGCTGGAAAAGAGCAAATAGAGCGAAATGAGGCATGGCTAAAATGCAGGATCTGTTTAGTATTTTGAAATAAAAACTTCACAGACATGTTTTATATGTATGGCCCTACCATATATGTTTCAAATATAGCATGATAGGTCCACTTTAAATTAAATCAATATTTAGATTTATTTGCAGCAAAATGTACCTTTTTATGCAATCTGATTCCCACCGGCGCTAACAGAGAGAAATGATAACCTAGATTATCAGATTAACCAGATTATATTCACAACCATCATTATAATTCAGTTTTGCCCAATACTCATATCTACTGAACTCAGCCTGAACGCACCATAGTATAGTCAGAATCACATTTCCCCAGCTGCTAACAGCTAAAGGCTAGCAGCTAATAGCTAACATTAGCTAGCTCTCCTGCAGATTTCAACATGATTTTGTTATTAACATGATGTCCTATCAGAAAGAATCAGGTGTGCCCACTGATGAGTTCTTGTGACATCTATACTTTGCATATTTATTTATATTTAAACGTCTTTAAATCCTGACACCTTCTGTCATGAGGAGGTTAGAAAGCAGCAGCACAGAAACGCCTCAACTTTTATTTATTTGTTCACCGTTTGTTCATTGTTCTGCCTACAAAGCCACGTTCAGACCTTTGCACATGGATCATAACTATCAGGCGTAAAATAAATCCCAAAGCAGCAACACTTTCTGTACCTGTTTGTGCTGTATTTCAGTCACAGAGCAGCAGGTGACCCTCGCCCTGCTCATCACCTCTCTGTGAATTCACCTCTCAGTTTCCTCTCTGCAGTTTGTTAAGCAGCAGACATCTTTTCCACGTCTGCATTACATTACGTGCAGCACAACACAGGGAGCCATTCATTGTGATTCTGATGGAGGCTAACAGACCCCCTGTGGCTGTTAGAAAACTGATCCTCAGTAACTCAATGTGATGTGTTGAGAAGCCTTGGATGGAAACTGTAAAACCACATGAAGCTCAGCGATGCTGGAAGTCCAGTTTGAAAGTAAGGTGTGGCAGCGGGGAGTGGTAAGAGCGGGAGACCAGACAGCTGATCAGAATCAGGTAATCAATCACTCAATAAAAGCATGTTGGTAACCTGGCTCTGGTCTCTTTTAGCCAGTAGGCTGGATCATGGGAGGCAGTCTGGACCGCCGAAACAAGAACTGTAAAGACCCCGGACCGTTTAAGTGTTCGTTGTTCTTTTTTTGCTGCAATAAACCGCTTTTGTTTCCCCCTAAAAATCCTTCTCCTTCCGTCCTGTCCCTGCTCAGGCGCCACTGTGAGCACCTCCGCTCACACACAGTTTAAAAAGGACGGAAGGAGAAGGATTTGGGGGTGAAACAAAACCGGTTTATTTCAGCAAAAATAATAACAACGAACACAAAAAAGCGTAAACGGTCCGGGGTCTTTTACAGTTCCTGTTTCGGCGGTCAAGACGTCCTCCAGGACCCAGCCTACTGGCCAAAAGAGGCCAGAGCCAGCTTACCAACATGCTTTTATTGAGAGCCTAATAGAGCGGTGCAGGAACGAGTCCTAAAACCAGGAAGGGAGTCAGCATTTCTCCACTTCCTGTTCCCTCGTCTCAGAGCCAATGGGATCTCTCCATAGGGTTCTGGAAACTATCTGAACTAAGGTCTGTGGTTGAGACGCATTGAAGAGACGGGTCACGTTTTGTTCTAGGACATTAAATCATCAGCAGTGACCCCACTGATGATTTCTGAAGAGTTGACGTGTCTGAAAAACGATGGTTGTTACCAAGTGGCTGAATAGGACTACAGAAGTCGTGGAGGCCGTTGTACGTCATTACGCCGAACACGTAAACACTCCTCTGAGTTAGTTTCTGTTCTGCTTGAAAGCAAGTCCCTGCTTCCTGCAGACTGTTCAAACAAACGCTTCAACTCGTTCCATCTAGAATCTGTGTGTTTGAATATGGATCTTAATTTGGCGTGACGTTGAAGTCGTGCTGCTGGACTCGGCTGTAATTCCTTTATAGCATAACGTTAGCATTTAGCTTCTGGCCGTTAGATTTATGATTAGAACATTATAAAAGTAGACATGTGGAGATTATCCGGCTGAACAAAACGTGCGTTTATCAAACAGGTTCGTTTCCACAGGTCTTATTTTTTACAATAATCCCAATTCCTATGGAGAAATCCCATTGCTTTTTTGTCGAGGGAACCAGCAGCTTACTTCCGGGTCGACCTACAAAAGTAAATCATCAATGCACCACTCTATTGCCTGATTCTGATCAGCTGTCTGGTCTCCCATCACTCCACAGCGCTCTAACAACACCCCGCTGCCACATAAGGCTTTTGTTTTGAAAGGTTCTACTCCTTGAACCTGCGCCCCTGCAGACTCTTGTAATAGTTCTCCTGCTCCGTCTGGTTCCTGATCTCTCGGTCCAGCAGAACCAGAGCCGTTTTGCGTCTCATGGCCATTTCTCTGCGCTGAGCCTCCACAGCAATCTCTCTCTGAGGATCAGCACCTGGAGAAGCTGAGCGATGAGGCCGAAAACTGCTCCCGTGAGCGGAGGAATCGCCTCTGGTCAAGCTGTTCAGATCGTAGGAGTCTCGCGGGTCACTTGGCCTCGCTCCCCACTCCCATGGATTACCGTTTCCTGCTAGGGGCGGGGCTTGCAGAGGGGACGGGGCTTGAACTACTGGATGATGCGGGGCATGAGCGTCAACAGTGACAATACCCGGATTTTCTTTATGTTCGCGGTAATGCGGCGACTCGTTGGCGTTTGAGGAGGAGGAGGTGGAAGTGGTTTCGGAGGACTTTTCCCCCGAAGAGGTGGAAGAAGAAGGGAGGAGCCCCTGCTGTTTGGACATGGCGATAACTTGCATTAAACGAGGTTGATTGGTGCGATTCGACGCCTCACCGCCACTCGTTTTCTCCCGAATTGAGAGCCACTTTGCCCGAGTCAAAGCGCTTTTCGGAGAAACTTGAGGCGGCGCTGCTTCTTGGATCTGTGGCGGGCGGGGAGTCGCTACAGCTTTGGCGCCAACTGGAGGCGGAGTGGGGTTATTACGACTGGACGGCGCCCTCACAGAATGAACTGGGAACACGGGTGTTGTTGAATCATCCGTCCCCACAGATGATCCCACCTCCGATCCTCCATCTTCGCTATTCTCACGTTCCACTTCATCCCGAACGCCTCTCATTTCCATCGATTTCTGCTTCCACTCTGACACCAGTTGCTGGGAACGCATTGGATCGACCGGCCCCTGAACCGCTTTCAAACGCCTTTGCACTGGTTGCACTGGTTGCACTTGTTGCACTTGTTGCATGGGTTGCATTGGACCTACTTCCTCCAGGAAACCATCCACGTTCATGCTACTCCTCGGTAAGGTGTTGCTAAAGGTGAGCATTGTTTCTTTCCCCATTGGGCTCCGAGGGGCCAGCAGTTCCACGTCAACGCTGGCTCTCTTCAGACTTTCCCCCGGAGACCCCTGCAGGGACGTATCCATCCCAACTCTTGGTACCGGGGTCGCAGTGATCTCGTCGTTGCTCTCAGATGCCGAGGCGGGACCTTTGTTGTACACGGACTCGTGTCCTCGCTCCGTCAGCGCTCGAAGGGGATCTTCTTTCGGCGGTGGTGGAGGCGGGGCTGGGATGATATCATCAGAGGACTTGAAGTTGGCGACAGCGTGACAAGCCTGGAGACAGAAACACCATCTTAATGTTTGACCACATGACAAACATCGAAACAATTCCAATCCTGTTAGGAGAGCTCACAGAGAGCAGCAATCACGTTTTTACCTGCCACAACCTCAGGAGCAGTGAGTGACCACACACACACACACACACACACACACACACACACACACACACACACACACACACACACACACACACACACACACACACACACACACACACACATTGGTTGCTGATTGGCTAATGGTTACACAAGCCAACACATCGTTGTGACATCATAAAGTGTCCAAAATCTGATCAGCCCATTTTCAGACAGGTTTTTATAGAAATGGATCAAAAGAGAGAGAATCTTTGTTCCTGAAACTTTCAGAGTCTCTTTCCACAGAGGGGGACACATGTTGATGTAGAAGAGACATGAAGAAGAGGGGACACATGTTGATGTAGAAGAGACATGAAGAAGAGGGGACACATGTTGATGTAGAAGAGACATGAAGAAGAGGGGACACATGTTGATGAAGAAGAGACATGAAGAAGAGGGGACACGTGTTGATGTAGAAGAGACATGAAGAAGAGGGGACACGTGTTGATGTAGAAGAGACATGAAGAAGAGGAGACACGTGTTGATGTAGAAGAGACATGAAGAAGAGGGGACACGTGTTGATGTAGAAGAGACATGAAGAAGAGGGGACACATGTTGATGTAGAAGAGACATGAAGAAGAGGGGACACATGTTGATGTAGAAGAGACATGAAGAAGAGGGGACCACATGTTGATGTAGAAGAGACATGAAGAAGAGGGGACACATGTTGATGTAGAAGAGACATGAAGAAGAGGGGACACATGTTGATGTAGAAGAGACATGAAGAAGAGGGGACACATGTTGATGTAGAAGAGACATGAAGAAGAGAGGACACATGTTGATGTAGAAGAGACATGAAGAAGAGGGGACACATGTTGATGTAGAAGAGACATGAAGAAGAGAGGGACACATGTTTGATGTAGAAGAGACATGAAGAAGAGGGGACACATGTTGATGTAGAAGAGACATGAAGAAGAGGGGACACATGTTGATGTAGAAGAGACATGAAGAAGAGGGGACACATGTTGATGTAGAAGAGACATGAAGAAGAGGGGACACATGTTGATGTAGAAGAGACATGAAGAAGAGGGGACACATGTTGATGTAGAAGAGACATGAAGAAGAGGGGACACATGTTGATGTAGAAGAGACATGAAGAAGAGGGGACACATGTTGATGTAGAAGAGACATGGAGAAAAGGGGACACATGTTGATGTAGGAGAGGACATGAAGAGAGAGGGGACACATGTTGATGTAGAAGAGACATGAAGAAGAGAGGACACATGTTGATGTAGAAGAGACATGAAGAAGAGGGGACACATGTTGATGTAGAAGAGACATGAAGAAGAGAGGACACATGTTGATGTAGAAGAAACATGAAGAAGAGGGGACACATGTTGATGTAGAAGAGACATGAAGAAGAGGGGACACATGTTGATGTAGAAGAGACATGAAGAAGAGGGGGACACATGTTGATGTAGAAGAGACATGAAGAAGAGGGGACACATGTTGATGTAGAAGAGACATGAAGAAGAGGGGACACATGTTGATGTAGAAGAGACATGAGAAGAAGAGGGGACACATGTTGATGTAGAAGAGACATGAAGAAGAGGGGACACATGTTGATGTAGAAGAGACATGAGGAAGAGGGGACACATGTTGATGTAGAAGAGACATGAAGAAGAGGGGACACATGTTGATGTAGAAGAGACATGAAGAAGAGGGGACACATGTTGATGTAGAAGAGACATGAAGAAGTGGATTTTGCATAATAGGTGACCTCAAAATACAGATAAATGAGTTCCTGTCTCACCAGATAGGCGGCGATGAAGGCTCCGATCATGAATCCCACGTAGACGTCGCTCGGATGGCTGCGGTGCTGTGTGATCTGAGTCAAACCCGTCAGAGCCGCCGCGATCGCAAACGCAAACACCAGGACCGGTTTGAGCAGCTTGGTGCTGTCGGAGATGGTCGCGTTGAAATACATCTGAAACCCAGACAGATTTAAACATTTTAAGATTAGAAGTAGTTTTGCGTTGCAGCAGCATAAAAGGACGAGGCTTTGAACATTGGAGAAATGAAAAGACTAGAAATAAACAATCCAAAATGTAAACGTCTCAAATTGAAATCAAATAGCATTAAAATGTGGAAATCGAACGTACAGAAACAAAATACAAGTAGGATAATATATATATATTAATTGTGCAAGGAATGGATTATTAAATATTAGATTGACACTTACGTACTATTCATTATTTACTATTTTGTTTGTGTTTTCATTTGTTTACTTATTCCTACTTTCATTTAGTGTTTATTGTAATGGTTCATTCATTGATGAAAAAGTCCTCTGTATCTTCTCTATATCTCAATAAAGTCAAAGTGAATATTCATCATGTGTGCTGCATGGTTTTAAATAAAGTTGTGTTGGTTTGAAACGAGTCTCACTCACAGAAACATAGACAGCAGCGAAGGCAGACAGAGTTGCATGCTGGGAAGGGAAGGTTTTCCTGTCAGGAGAGAACAAAGAGTGGTAAGACTAGATGCAAGGGAACAGACATTTAACATACCATAACCACTGAGAGAAACCTGCTCAAAGACCCTCTAACGTACATTAGATCTGGGGTTTGACTGTATTTAATGTGAGGATTGACTGGAGCACAAAGGAGGGCTTCAGTCGAGAGACGGGAGCTCGTCAGGAGAATTCTAGCAGCAGAAACTCAGCTAAATGCTGCCGTGATGAAACGCCATATTATGTTCCAAAACCAAATGTTTTGTGGCGTGATCATTATTCTTTAGAGTCATTGCGTGCCTATTGATTTGAACACGATCCGTGTATCCATCATTTCCTGGTCTTCTCTAAAGAAGAGGGACCAATGGAAACGTTGTCATGTTGCCGTTGTTCAGCATGGAAACATTCATTAGCTAACAATGACATTATTGTTCTATTAATATAAAGGGAGGTCAGGTACTCTTTAAAACAGCTGCTAGTTATGGGTACTTTTTACTGAAGTACATTTCAAAGCCTCTTTACTTTGACTTGAGTAAAGAAGTTTAGTCAGTACTTCTACTTTTACCAGAGAATTTTTAAACACCAGTATCTGTACTTCTACTTGAGTAAAAGATGCGTGTACTTCTACTTGAGTAAAGGATTGTGTACTTCTACTTGAGTAAAGGATTGTGTACTTTTACTTGAGTAAAAGATGTGTGTACTCTTCCCATCTCTGAAGGGAAGCCTCCGGTGTGTGAGGAGCCTCACCTGGCGGCCATGATGGCGTGTTGGTCCGTCCCTGAACACACGTCTCTGGTGATGTAAGAGTTTCTGTCGCAGCCGGCCAGCGTGTAGTTGGGTTTACAGACCGTGAGGAAGAAGGGAGCGTGATAACCTGTGGACAGCTGGATGATGTCCGTCAGCAAGGCCGTCGCACACAGGCCGAACACATGCACACCTGGGAGAGACAGACAGGTACAGAGGAGAGGGACAGGGGCTGAACATCTGGGAGAGACAGACAGGTACTGAACACCTGGGAGAGACAGACAGGTACTGAGGAGAGGGACAGGTATGAACACTGACGGAGACAGACCCGGTACTGAAGACAGACGGTACTGAACACCT